TTCATCTTATCACTGTACAAAGAAATTAAACGAGGTTTTTTACAACATGCAAATCATCTTCTTACATAAAGATGAAATTAATGTTTATTCATTAATAATACATTAATTTGGAAGAAAAAAAAAAGATTGCATCATCTAATTTTTTGCGTATATCAATTTTAAAGAGTAAATGTCTTCAGAAAAACAATTAAAGAAGAATGTGGAAAGGCAACAAAACTGAAGATTTTTAGTTTCCACCAAGGGCAATTTGTACTTATTAAGCAGAAAGGAATAGTGAACATCACAGGATAAGTACACATTTTCTGGTAAAGCACTTTCAGGTTTTATTGCACTGACAACCTAGAACATGGACCACATGTTTTCCTCCATGTATCTAGGTACAAAAATTGTAAAAGTGTGAGTGAGTCTGCCCATTCTTTGATATGAAAATAAATTAGAAATTAACTTTCCATGATGATGCATAAGCATTGCACAATACAGTAAATGACATCTGTATGTTGAAAACAAAATGAGAAATTGTCTTTATGTGTATATAACGTATTCTGGAGATTCACACTACATACACCATTTTGATAATGCTATACCACAATTTTATACAGAATACATGTTTCATATGATTCTGTGCTGCAAGTAATGATTTCTTCATGTTCAGATGACAAGTTTTTGTATTAAAAAATATTCTACTTTTTACTCTAGAAACCAAATATTAATTTGGTGATTAGAAAAAAACATTACTGATAAGTGGTTTGACTGCAAGTAATTGTGAAGTGTGTAAAATTGTAAAGTTTGACTGCAAACAATACAGAAATTAAAATATTTAGAATAATATATATAAGAGTAACATCTGGACAAGCGCCCCAATTCCTATAAATTATGGTAGAAGTCAGGTCACATAAAACAATTTCCTGAAAATCATTGACAAATAAATATTATATATATATGAATTTGTCATCAGGTAGAACTAATGTAGGATGAGACTTGTTGTAACTGGGCTAGCAAAACTTGTGAATCTTTGTAAGGGATATTAAATAATAAACAGATTAAATTAGGAAATTGTGCTTTGTACAGATCACTGTACACCAAAAAATGGTTATCCAATAAAAAAAGTAGTAAGTCCAAAAGTATTAAACATTTCAACGTACTCCATAAATTTGTGAGTGCTTGCCAATCAGCACTGCCTTCATATTATTCTTCCCTTGATAAATTCCCCACAATAGTAACAATACCTAAAACATGTACATTCACTGACATTTTTTCACAGTTTTCAGAAGATTCACAAAAACTTACCTAAATGAATGGCCGTACGTAGGAACACCAACAACTATCTTCTCTTTGGGCATTCCCTTCTGGACCCAATACCAAGATGACCAATTGGTGTTTAGAGTAGCCAAAAAGCCTTTTTCACCTGGTCGTCGGAAAAGTGGAGCGTTTGCTCCTGTGACTGGGAAGTACCAGACATAGAAATGGTAATCGTAAGCCATCAAGTTCACATAGTCGACATGCCTGAAAATAAATTAGATCATTCAAATAAATGATTCCTTAGGTAAATACTAGCAGAAGTCCACGATTTGCTTTTTAATAAGTTTATTCTTCAAGCAAATTATTAATCATTACATGTCCTGGCTGGTAAAAACTGAAAGCAGCCTGACTGCTAATCCTTGTATATATTGTCAGAAGAAATGAAAAAAGAACATTTATAACTTAGGCAATCAACCCTAAAAATATCAAAAATAATAGTGCTTCACAATAGCCCACATTATTCTTTAAATAGCAGATTAAATGAGCACTAAATCACACATTCATGCACATAATGCACATTTTCCTAATCCCAGATTACCAAAACCTTCATATGTAAAATATGAACAACAAAACTAAAACAAATGTGTACTTCCATGGTAATTATAATCAAATTCAATTAGTTATTACTATATCCAAGTTTCACGTAAACAAAATAGGCACTAAAAATGTATGTGTAATATGATATAAAGTATAGCTGATAATTAGGCAGTGGATTTCTATGATTGTACATATTTTCGTCCATTGCTTCAGTGTATAGTGAAGTGAAATTTCTTGACATTTGGTTACAATATGATGCTACTTAGATTAATACGTTAGTGCATATTTGTGCATTCTTGGCCGATTTTTCCTGTTGGTACATATATTTGGCTGATTTTTCCTTTGGCTTATATTTTGCATATTTCATTAAAAGAGCGACATCTATAAAACGTTTCATAATTTCATAGAATCTATATTTGTGAGCATTCATTGATTCAAAAGAGCTTGTCACAGATTGCATTTTTCTTTTTCTTTCTATAATTAATAAAATGTGTGCAAATGTACGATATTTCTTGAAAACATATTTTTTAAACCAGACAGAAAAAATACAACACAACATATAATGTACTTGACAATGGTCAATATTTATTTCAATTATTTTTCTTGCAAAGTAGGGTAGATTATTAAGTTTGCACAAAAATAGATCTTTTCATTCCAAGCATGTTTCTCCTGAATTTTATCCACAAAAGTTTGTATAAGAAATGAAATATTGTTAATTTTAAATGAATATTAAAGGGTATATTTCAGAATTTTTAGGTCATTAATGAATATTTTTAAAAGCATATTTCAAGATTTTTTTTGGTCACAAAAATTATCTCCTTATTGATAACTAATAAAAATTATCTTCTCATTCATTTCACGGAAGTCTTTAGTACTACTACAAATTCCTTGAAAATAATTACTGACGGGGAGAGGGGAGGGGGTAGTAAAAGAGGAAAATGCAACTATTTCCAAGTCACATTTGAAGAGTTAACTGTCAAATTAACAGTTAAAAATCTTCAATAAGACAAATGTGATTTACATTGTTGAAGTTCAATGACAATTATAATATAAAATAAATGAGTTGCCTGTATTCCTCTAATAACATATAAGACCCCTTTTGTTAATTCTTGAACTTGCAAACAGTTTTCTCTATCAACTAAAAAACTGGCAGAGGAGATGAAACCTGGACAAAACAAGTCTCAAGTTCAAAGAATGGGCAATTCTCATGGCAATGATTTTCAATCCCAACAATATAAGCATACATTTTAAATATTCTCTACTCACAAACATCAAATAACTGAATACATACTTGGCCATCTCTTCAACATCATAACTTTGGTCAATAATAGACCCAGGGCTACCAACAGCTACACTAAGAAGAAACGGTTTATGTTCCTCTTCAAATGCTTCTCGGAATTCACGCAGTAATACATTGAAATCAATTTTCTCTTGCTTATCTTCCTCTGGCCACGATGGAAACTCCCAGTCTAAGTCAACACCATCCAAGGAGTAGTCTTTTAGCACTTGCAAAACCTGTCTAATGAATCTGAAAATTACAAGCATTCCTCATGAAACCTTGTACATAATAATACATTTGCAAAGTAAAATAAAAAGGGCACTAAAATAAATTTATTTTTTGGATATTATGTGGAAAAGGAGACCAAAAACAAACAACACATTTTACTTGTTTAAATTAAATTCATTTATCCAGATTAAGCTTTTCGAAATTGAGATATAGGTTAGCGATCAGTATTCTTCCATTATCTATAAGATGTTCTGTCGTAAAATAAGTTCTTGAAAATATATAGCCCACAATATTAATATCCAATTATTACACATTAAATATTACAGAAAAGTTGAAACCTTTTTCTGTCTTCATGCTTTTTCACCATATCATTAAATCCTCCAGGCGCAGAATATCCACCAATACATAAGAGAACTTTCAGAAGAGGTTTTTGAGTTTTCAATGCCACAACTTCCTTAATAACCTGTAAACATAAATTAAAGAAAGGAAATGAATTACATCAACAGAAAATTCAAGAAAGAAAATATTAAAACAAAATGAATTGCTCCAAACACTGGATGCACTCACTAAACAGGCCAGAACTGGCACCACACAATCTGCACAAACTTCAAGAAGCACAAATACTTTATCAAGCAAAGAATATCATGCAAACTCTGGAGATGAAAACGAGACAGGATAAAATGTGTGTCAATAACTCTTAAAAGTCAAATATATTATTGTGTAGGCACATCACAAGTAATTTTTCATTAGATTCTATTTCTCATTCAAAGGCAATTCTTGTTGCACGCACACACACAAAAAGAAGCTTGGTTCTGTTTTCAATTCCTTCTCCACAAAATCTTAAAATTTAAGTGGGAACACTTCTGGTCCATGTAGTGTGAAGTACAACTGCTTCATTCATGCATGTTCTTCATTTAAGTGCTATAGACACCACAAATTGGCAAAACGTGTCGTCACTCTGCTATGCAAAACTTATTGTTCAACAATTCATTAAATTAAATTTCATAGATATGAAAATTTTGTTTTTATTTGATAATATTAATTTTAAAAATTCATATTTAATGTTTGGTACTTTTTTAACAAAAATATATCATTTAATTGAATAAATGCTATATTTTTCAAAATATATTTCCTCACTAACACAGAGACACACACATACATACGCATTAACTGGCATTTAAAATACCAGCCTGTAGAATTAATATTTCAATATGAACCATTTATGAAAATGTAACATGCTCAATCAACTATATGAAGATCAGGTAGCATTCCAAATTAAATTCATGAGGAAGATCATTCCACGAGTCCACTGAAAAAAATATCCCTAATTATTTATATTCTATAAATAAAAGCATAATACTAACAAAATAAACCATAGCAATTTCCTGAACATAATCAATCCTTGTATGTGTGAAAACATTGCAATTTGTCTGCAGTACGTGTTCATCTTCTGGTTGGCTCGATCATGCCCATCATGCCCAATCCATCACACACACACACTTATACATTTGTGAAATACTACTAGTGTCAGATATGCACAATTATTTCAGCAAGCTTTCACTTAAAGGCAACACCAAAAGTATAGAAATGCAACCGTGAATAATTGCTGACTTTCTGTAGTCTAACAAGTTACTCAGCGTAATTATACTTCCAGAAAGACAGGAAGATCAACTATTCACAGTGCAGGTGAAAATGAGAGAATTTTATGTACATATAAATGAGATCCTACAGGTAAACAAGACACTAATCAAAAACATCAAACCGACTTGTGCTATGTGCATGTTGATAAGAAGCTCAGCAAGTACAGGACACGTTGAATTGCATACAACATACCATTACATGGCGACATCCAAATATTACTGAGGGTCAATCTTCCCTGATTCAGAATAAAAATTTAAACTGCCACCTGAATAACACAAGACATACATCATCAATGTATTGATGAATGAAAAATCATGTGTGCTGACAGATCAAATAACTTGAGGCTTGCTTTTCAAATATCAAATGGCATCCACAAAACATGAATAACATGCATGCAACTCTCCAATAAGTGCAAAAGCAACAAACATGCAAATTGAATTGCAAATTACAAGTCAATTGGATTTCATATCATACAAGCATCCAAAGTTAACTTTGAATGCCCACAAAGTTCAAATCCAACATTGCTTTCTCAAAAATATTTACACAAGAACAAAGCAGTTCTATGAAAGAACTTCTCTGATACAATACAGGAAGGGATAATAAATACAAAACATCTATCCAAGAGAAAAATAATCCACGAAGAGGTTACTTTCTAATCAGTTATTGTCCATGATTTTCTAATATCGAAAACCTTAAGTAATACAGGGTACTAGTCTTGGTATTGCAGAGTAGAGTATTAGCATACTAGTATGAAGAGTGTAATAATACAATATAACACATATCAACATTAATAAAAAATACCTTGATAACTGGAAAAGTCTGTAGGTAAATAATAAAAATAATAGCTATTATAACAAATTGATCAATTTAAAAATAGAAAATATCTAAAAGCATGAAAATCAAAAGCAACTTTTTCATCCATTCAGCTTTTTATGTCTGTTTTTAACTTATTTGATAAAAATTAAAACACAACCAAAATATTACACACATTGTACCTAATTCAAATTTCTAACGTTGGGTAAATGCCTACTCATAAGGAATAATGGAATTACACATTAATTCCTTGGGTGCACTCTATACTGAATTATGTCAAACATCCATGAGTTCAGTGGTTTTCAACATTATTTATGCTTTGAATTATAAATTTGTTCTAATATTACTTTTTTTATGTACCGCAAACCTCAAACCTTCATGAGAAAACAAATTGTGAAGCATAAAACTAAAGCAATATATGAATAAAATTAAGCAATTTAATGACATGTACATATAATGTATAATTTAATTAAATGTACTTATACACAATTTTTAAAAAAATTTAATATGTACATTTATATTTCAATTGATTGTTAATGTTCAACTAGTAGAACCCGGCAGATGTTCCGCCCTTCATCTCCCTTTTTCCTATCTTTCTCTCACTCTCTCTTTCCCTTTTCCTGTCTATCTGATTGTGTCTGTGTGTGTGTGTCTCTGTTTGTCTGTCTGTCTCTCTCTCTACCTCTCTCTGACCCTCTCATTCACATTTAGTTGCAGATTCGGAACGTCTCTGAGCAGGTATGGTAATATCGAGAAGCGCCAGACCAGTAAAATGTAATAGAATGTTCAAGATGATCTCATCTTGTATATAGTAGTATGAGAAACATACTTTTGGCCTCAAAATTTTAGTTTTTAATGCCCAAGAATTATGTGTTTATGAGTTATTTAACAATATAGATTCAAAAAAGCTGCAGAGTGTTGTAGGTTGCATTTGACATGAATATTTAGCGCCATTTAGTGGAGTTCCAACACAATTAAGAGTTAAAAGCCAGCCAATAATACACAAATTCCATGTTAAGATGCTTGTGACTCACATTATACATAGTTTAATGGCCCAGTATAGTGATTGTTTTGAATGGAGTACACAGTAGCGTTTTTTCTCATTCTGAGTATTATTTTACATACATACAATGCTACTACAGTCAATATTTCATTTACTTTATATACATTTTGCACAATTGTTTGGGTTTTAGATTAAAAATGCATTTGATTGCTTTTTTCTGAAGTACCATAACTCTGTCAATATTCCTAATACATGTTGCCCCCCAGATTTCTATACCGTATTATATATGTAAATGAATGATTCCATAATATATTAACATAAGCATGTCTGTTGTAATGTATCTTTTAAGATTTCTCAAAATGAGTATGTTAGTACTTAATTTATTACACTTCTTCAATATGTCTATTATAGGTTACGTTCTCATCAATATAAATTCCTAAAACTTGTGACAGTCAGTTTTGTGGATATTCTTGTCATTTATTTTGACATTGTAACCATGAAAACGTATGTAACAAAATCAATGTCAGAAACGTATAGTTTGAATTTTGTTTGCATTTCGATGTAAGTTGTTATTTCTCAAATATTTATATATTTGTTGTAATGCTTGGCCTATTCACTGATGTTGATCTTCACTGCCACATATTATAGTTGTTGCATCTGCATGTTATTATTCTTATTTCAATGTTAATTGGAAGTCATTGACATATAGCAGAAACAGTAACTGTACCAATACTTATCTTTGTGGAACACCAGAGGTTATGGTTTTGAAGTTTGGTTGTGTTTTATCAATGCTGTTGTCAGTTTCCCAGAGTATTTGTACAGATTGTTTCCCATCTGTTAAGTATGACTTGATTAGTTCATGCATATTACATCTTATTACTTAGTGTTCTATTTGGTAAGTAATATATGATGATTTCCAAAATAAGTTTGAAGCTTCTCATAGAGCAAAGTTCTAACTCCTACGTTTTCACTTTTCAACTCCGATGTTATACAATAATTACTACAAAGAGACTACACATTTCCTCAATTAACATCAAACAATCCTGCAACACTATTACACTATTAGTAAGGTAAAGCTTAGAAAAATATCTTAGATATAATGCCAAATACTGCACAAGTTTGCTTGTAATGGAAATTAGTATGATAGGAAAGAGATTTACAGTATTATTACTTTTTCTCATGCAATTTACAAGCTACAAGAACAATCCTGAAAGTACTAAAACTTAAATATACGTAAGATGTAATGGAAGGTATTTGCAAGATGTCAACAAATAAAACTAACTAGCCTACCATCACTGATACACAATAACAGGAGGCAGATGCTCCAGTAAACTTGTGATAGTGCACTAACGTAAATTACACTATAATATCAAATTATGATACTATCACATTAATTCCCAAAAAGATTAAAATCAATAATACAAAAATTACAGATTAACATATTTTTCATCTGTAACCACACTCGCAATTGTTCTTGGGGAAACATATCGAAGTCTCTGGCACTGTGCGTTTTCATTACCCTTCGGGTATTATGTCTTTGAGAGCAGGGAATACTTATTTGTAGTTTCAGAAATGTGTTGATGAGTTTTTCCTTTTCTCTATTTGTTGAATTCTTTCTCATCCTGTATTCCTATTCTAAGTCTTCTCTTCTTTTCTATTTTATTACAAGATTATACTTCTTGCACATAACTATATTTTGAACGGGATGATCCTGAATGAAATGAACATTTTTGCACTATTTGGAAAGGAATCAACAGTAGATGGCACTCGTTTATTACAGCACTCCCAAATTAATTTCATGTTTTTAAAAGATATACAAGTATCCAAATTTAAAAATTAGCAAATTACACTTACCTTAATAAGAACTTTTTTGAAGTGAATAAAACAAAAATAGAAACTCATATTGTACATTAAATTACTGTGAAATAGAGTAGGTAAGACATTGTCCCAGATTTGGAAAATTTTCATACTTCCCATGTCATTTACAAAAACATCAATCTTTCAAACACCAATTCTAAATTACCGAACTCAAGGAATATTTCACTTCAAACTGACTTCAGTTTTTATTCTGAATAACCAAAATTATACAATATAATCAAGTCACAACAATTTTGGGGAAAGAATCAGCAATATTATTGCATCAATGATAATAGAATAAACTTGTTTGCTGTATGCTATCACCATAAACTATTTAACTTACCACCTCCATGGCTGAATTTTAACAACACATTTTGCAAAAATTGTAATGTTTCAGGAAAGGAAAAAAATGTTCCCAAGTGTCCATTACAAGCTAGTATACAATTTCCACCATTTTATCAAATTTCCAAATAATTTCTGTGATGCATGTCATTCGAATTCAATAGAAGACCATCTTATCTTTTGGGTGACATTATTATATCTAAATTATTGAGATGTGCATTGTTAACATTTATCCATTGACATGCTTAAATAACCAATTAACACCAAAAAAGGAATACAATTTTATATTGTAGAATTTGTCTACAAATTTGATTACTGTAACACTACAACCTCTAAGCAAGTCCCCAATAAACTTTACTTCTCGGCCCTGCAGTATTTTTTTTTATAAATCTTTTAACATGAATAACAGAGAAAACATCCATATTTTACAGAAAACTCAATTAAGAGTAGACTTTAAGACAAAAATGTTTAAAAACTTAAAGAGGGATTAGAGGGGGGGGAGATTGATTTTTGGGTTTTATTCCCATATTATTTCCCATAGACTATCTCCTCAGGTTTTGCAGAAATCAGGGTGTAGAAAGACCTTCAAAATTTAAATAAGATCCCAGCATAGCATCAAGATGTAAATTTGATGGAGGTCTGTGGAATGAAGATGAAGTAGAGAATGTTGACAGTGGTTTCAAAATAATACACTTGTAATCTTTTCTGAAGCCGTTAGTAAAAATTGCTATAGTTTAAAGAATGATAAACTCAATATTTAGGGAATAATGATAAAAAATAAAACAAATTATTTGATGATCATTACCTTCCCGAAACATTTCTTCAACATTTGTAAGCAATTTCTTGTGACTTTCATTTTTTAATGATAAATGTACCGTGTTCTCAAAAACTATTCAGCATAAGAATTTGGGTGCAAGGAATTTTTCGAATATTCCTTATATTTATCAAGGCAGTTTTTTAAACTAAAAATTTTGCATCTAATAATTATTATTAAGATATATTAGTTAATGAATATTTATTAATTAATGTATAACAAAATATAAATAATGCAGCTATATCCTTACATTTATTTGTAAGTCAGGAGTAGTTCTGCAAAGTTTCCAACTTAAAATGTGATCGGTTTTCCAGAAAAGTTTAAATTAAACAAAGTTAAACATAAAATCATTCAAAACTTATTGCTATAAACAATTTCAACAAAAATTTGTATCTAATAATTTTTTTTTATGTATAAACTTCAGACTACAAACTTTCATAGTTCAACAACAAATCTTCGTTGCTTCAAAAATTAAAATGGTACATTGTGTAAATCCTCCTACAATCCCCTTCAAAGACGTCTACCAGAATGGAGTACATGATATTGAATACTCATAAACAGAATCTAACTAAAAATAAGCAAAATTCACATCACTCCAATAACTGAAAAAGATATATTTCATAATTTATTCTTACAACTCGTTAACATAACTTTTATCTATTTTTCCATTACTTTAGGTTGCTTCTGCTTTATGTTTCTCTCATATTTCATAAATTATATCATAGTTAATATAAAGTTTGAAAAATGAACAGTCTACTAATTGGAATTAAGAAAACCTCAATGTTTCATTGTCTACTATAAATTACAGTCATTCTCACAATCCCCATGTATTGAAAGGTATTGCTACAACTAATGATAGGACATCCAATACACCCACTGTAAACTTTGAATACCAACATTCGTCTTTTGCTATCTTCATATTCTGTAATGTCAAGTACCTTGAACAGAACATGTGTTCTGGACAGAGTGCAATTATCATTTTCCAATGCCTCTCAGACAACTGTCCTTCGATGTAATGAAAAATGCAGACTGGCACATTTATTAATTTAAAGTGCAGAGAATGAACCAAGGTTTGATGAAATACAATGACTAATACATCATTATCACCAATGATTACCATTTAGAAAACAAAATGTTCAACATGAATTTTGAAATGTGAAGAACACAACATTTTGTAATAAAATATACAGGCAACAATTTGAAATATTTTGTGGATTTTTTAAACCTCCACTTCAGCACAACCATAAAGGTATGCAGGTTTAAAAGCAATTTCTTCAATAGATAAACATTTTTCCACAAATTATGAAAAAAAATAACCAATACACATAAGGAAATATATTTTCAAAAACAATGGAGCAACAGAGAATACCAGACATCTCACAAGCATTTATCATATTTTAGCATGCATATGTAAAACATTCCTGATGCATCCATTTCTTGAACATGAATTGGAGATAAACATACATTACTATGAGATGTACATTTAGCTAGTGCAATTACAAGTACTACGGCTGCAACTAATTGCAGGTTTACATTTGTCAGACTCACCAAAAATGCACTTACCTTGGATATCTCTGGAGTAATTTCACTTAGTGATTTGTTGGTTACAGCCAAAGATGCAATGTTTATGTGAGTACAGAGACCAGGATCAATTCTTTCAGGCTTTAAATCGTCCTTATATGGGAAACTGTAATAGCATACCAACTTCAGGACACGAGGTGAGCTAGAAGGAACTGGTGACCGTGCAGGCACATGGATAATGGGATCAATTTTGGAGGAATTCAGTTGCAAAAATGCTTTTTCATAACATTTTGCTCTGTGCTTCAGCATGTGCAAAGTCACTAAAAAAAACATGTATGCAATTAGACATACAAAAGAATTACAAGAATTATAATAAACACAATTTACTTAATGGTATTATATTTAATTAACAAACTACTAACTAGGTATAGTTTCTGGCACATTCATATGGAGAAAATCTGCTTCAATCACTGGCTGCAATAACCACCATGATACATATGCTGTAATACATGTCATCAGAAGAGCACCGACCGTAATGACAGCAACCAAAATGTTTTTCTTGGTAGTGGATGAGGATCTACATCAAAATGTAATATTATATTTCGACCAAATTCCGAAACATGGCAAATTTAGGGTTAAGGAACAAATCACTTGCCCATTGTTTTCCAGAAGAAGCTCATATTTAGCTTGTAAAGGAGGCCTGGTAGATGACATATTTCACTTTTGGGTATTTTTAAGAAGATTTTTCATAGAAAGACTAAGTGATCATTACCGAAACGCTCGTTCTTACGAAGGAAAATCCGCAGTGTACACCTGCAGTCGCAATGAAAAGACACAACAGGGATAAACAATTCACATTATTTTAACAATTGTGCTGATGTTCTAAAAGAGATACCAGCCATATAAAAGATTATAACCGACATCAATTAGAAAAACACCAACCTCACAGAAAATAATTTAAAATAGTAACACTATTATGGCTCGGACAATACATTTGACGGATTTGACAGCACAGGCAATGCCGGATGACATAGACCCTGTGATCATTACCAACATCGACAAATCATATGATCGGCTTGCCAACATAGTGCACAAAAGCTCAAAAACACGGCGGCAATACAAAGATCAAGTGTGGAAAGCATACAAAGGTTAACTAACCATAACATTTTCTGAAAAACTGTTGATAAAATAAAATCATTAATAATAACAATTACTACATAAGAAGAACAATTATATTAAATAATAATAATAATAATAATAATAATAATAATAATAATAATAATAATAATAATAATAATAGTATTTTTTAACTAGAAATTAAAAACTGCACGCAACGTTCCAGAAGAGAATAGGCACCTTACTGGTCAGAAATAAGGAACAATCAGCAGTTTGCAAGAGCAATTTCGTATCTATCTAGACATTGTGACTTTCAGGACGTTCATGCAATTTCCTATTCCCTCTAATATAATGACTAGGAACCGAATGTTTATGACATGCAGTTTGTGTGTGTGTGTGTGTGTGTGTGTGTGTGTGTGTGATATTTCCAGGATAATGTAAGAAAAGCATGATTTTATCTACAATGACTAAAATTATGCAATTTTCACTTGTCATATAAGGTCATATTTTAGCTTTTAACCTTTTGGTCATTTTCCGTAAATTTTTCGTATTATGGCCATATTCCTCTATGAATTTTTGTACTTTTTGTCACTTTTTGCCTTTTTCATACCACTTTCGTATAGGACCTACTTGCATGCAATCGTATCCTATAAATTTTTCACATCTCCTCTGTAACCTAGTTTTTGACAATTGTTGTATCTAATTCTTTCCTATAAATATATATGAATATGAATTGGGAGGGTAAGCTAAATAGGAGAGAAAGAAACACTAGGAAGTGTTGGTTTAGTTCTGTGCTAAGATCAACCGCTTCTATAAATAACTTTAGCTGGTAGAATTGTCTTCATGCGGCACCAAAGGAGAAGGGGTGAATTGTAAATGTGCTAGATTTTAAAAGTATATTTTCAATATAATGCTTATTTAAACAATGTAAAGGTTTCGAAAATATTTAACCAAAATTTTTTTAAAGTCATATTTTTATTAGGTCGTAGATGCTTGCATATTTCTAACATTTTTAGGTCATAAACATCCGGGCCCATGACATTTATTTTATCTTTGGTTAGCAATTTTGTAGATGGGAACGCTAATCTAGATATTAATCCTAATCTTATACTAACATCGCAAACTACTTTTCACATTTTGCACTACTTGTTTACCTTAGAAAGCGTACCGCATATAGAAAAGATGCGCTGGTGCCGGGCCACGCCGGAACCCATTGCCGTACTGCATTTTGGGAGTTTTTTTACACTGCTTCGGGGGATTTTGCTGACAGCTATAAAACAAATTTAATCGCACCATTACTGGTGCATTCTTAAATTATATGAATGTACCTCTGATCTAACGATTTCATGAATAATACCAGCTTTGTCAGAGTTATTGCAAATGGAACAAGAACTGCGTGTGATTATAAACTGAGAAAATAACCGATTCAAATTAAACAAATAGAAGGTTCATCTTTTTTAGACCTGTAAACTGAAGCGTTTTGATACTCCGTAGATAATGATTACTTTCTCGCCTTACTATGTACTAAGTAAAGAGAAGAGAAAGCATTATAATGCTGCGGCGGAAATCAGCGATAGTTCGGCAGAAAAAAACTCATATTGTCGGGTCCGGGAGGCGAAAAAGTGGATAATTCGTGTTCCTATATGTAGTAATTTACTTCCTTCAAAACGTTGAGTAACCAGAATCGACGTTTTGTGGGTACTTGATACCAAAAAATGGACGCAAAACGTCTATCCGTCTGACCGTTTCGCCGTCTGATTGCCTGGCCGTCTGTCTGTTCGCTCGTCTGTGGTCAAAGCGCCTAAACCGTTTAGATGTTTTTCTCAAAAATTGTTTTCCAGCATCAATAGTTTAAAGACTTTCACAAAAGTGGCCTCAAATTGTTTTATTGAACTTTGTCTTTGGATAGCGTAAAGTAAGCTCATAAAAACGGCAAAGGTCTCATTTTCGTTGAACTCCCTCAATTTTCGAAAACTGCAAAGAAAGAATGCGAGAAAGTACCGCATGTGCTTCTGTTATTGAATCCTATAAACTAGTATAAAATTCAGTCTCGGATGAAGCATGGAGCAGTCGCTCCGGGACCCGCTCAAATACAAAAATGAAAAGGAGGCCCAAACTACTTACAAAGTAAATAAGTCTGTAACAAGAATTGTACCTGATCCCTTGAGCAAATGCAGATATGTGGCCTCTCGTTTTGCATTTGAGAATAAATGTAGTTCCACTACCTGTGCACGTGGTAATTTTAATTATTCAAATAATCGTTCATGTTCTCGTGGCAGTCTATTTTGTTGCGCAGGGCACGATAAGGGGTAATAGCCAAAATGAAAATCGTATATTTCAATTAAAAAAGGCTTTAGAAAAGGTAGTGCCGCTTTTCTTGCAAAGCCTAAGAATAACACTCCATCTGCAAACCCAGTTTCGTCGGGAATTTATGAAGAATGTGATGTGATAGTACTGCATCATGCGAACCAATGCCATCACAAGAGAAGTCCAACACACACATTACAACGCATGTGTTGTACATAAGCAATAAACAACAGATTTTCTAGGTAGAAGAATTTAATAAAAGCAAAAGATCTATAGTAGACAATTCTAAACATTCGTTTGCTTTGACAGTTACAGGAATGTGTTCAGGTCACGATGACAAAGGTTTGGTGACATTTATTTGTGATGTGTGAGTGTGGCCAACTAAGCAGTAACAAAAAGGATCTCAAGGATCTTAAGTTACTGCTTAGTAGCAATTCTCAAATTGGGTAAGAGTAAGTGAAATTAAGAAAGTTGAACCGCAACATGAATAATTTGAAGAAAAATCGTTTAAACAACACAACTTCAGTGTTTCATGTAATTTTGTTCGGGAATGTAATAGTAGTTCTTTGTGCAGAGGAATGCAAAGAAGAGACTTTCTCGTTGGTGGCTTTGCTTTTCATTATCCAAAAGGAGAATCGTTCGCTGGTGAAAGGTGATACGCCTGATGCACAATCTTCTCAAAATTAGATTTTTTTTGAATCGGAATGATGTTACGGCATCACAAACGTGATCGAATTGCGCACCCGTCCGTGTGTCCCCCCTCCCTCTTACAATTCTGTATAAATGTATATTGAAGTTTTATTATTATTATTATTATTATTATTATTATTATTATTATTATTATTATTATTATTATTATTGTTGTTGTTGTTGCTGTTGTGTAGATTTTTTTATTATTATTGATTTTATTTCATAAGCAGTTTTTCAAAAACGTTTATTGTGAGTTAACCTTTGTATGCTTTCAACACTTGTTGATCTTTGTATTGTCGCATTAATATTAAATATTAAATTAATGATAATAATAATAATAATAATAATAATAATAATAATAATAATAATAATAATAATAATAATAATAATATCGAGGGTAGATAGGAGAAAGGAATTTTTCTTAACTAGAAAATTGTTTTGGTGGCCATTGACTCATCTTATGATTATAGTGTTTGTTAGTATTATCGTATAAGTAGTGCCCTATTAGATCTTAAGAAGGTTGGTTCTTAAGACATAAAGTGGTGTTTCATATAAGATTATTATTTCGATTTCAATTGTTGCAAAGTGGTTAAGATAATGAACTTTTTCTACTCCTCTCAGCTAAAATATACAATATCTCGGTTATTTTTAGTTCAGAATATGTCCTGACAGTTGTCAGAACGTAAATCACAAATTAATGTCTTCTGCATATCGCTAAAAGCTTACCATCAAATGAATTTTCGCATTTCCTGCGTACCATTGAAGTAAAAATATGCACACAACTAGTAAAACATTGCGAGTGATAAATTCTTTACTTGAAATTGTTATTGAAATGAAGATTTCAGAACAATATTACGAAAGACCGACGAATGAATAGTGTTTTGTCTCACTTGTAAGCTTTGTATTTTGGTAGGTAGACGTTTTGGACGTTTTACTTATCAACTATTTCAGTTTGTTTATAAGCTGTTTGTATTCCGTAATCGTAATTTTCAAAAGATGGGTTTTGCGATTGCAGTCATGCAGACAATACCTCAAACAATATGAAGAGGAATGTTCATATAAATCTACATTGTTTTCGATCTTAAAAAAATTTGTACATCTGAACATGAAAACAAGAGAAAAGTCACTGTCTGAGATTTCATAAATATTTCATTTCTTATTTACCTTAGAGAAAAAATTGAGTGTGTACCCTTTCTCTTTTACGCAAATATCTCAAAAACGAGAAGTAAATTCATCACTGAATTAAACGTTACCGAAAGCCTATAAAATTACCTACTACATACATTTTCATTCATTCCAATAGCACAATTAGGCTCAGAGTAATTGAAGGTCAAAATAATTCATACTGGATGTTTTCCAGGAGTATGCAACGATAGGTCTGGTTACAACAGCCGGAAGCAACAATGATGGTAGGACAGGTAATCGTAGCAAGCAAGCCAGGGCGCGGCAGTAGCTGCAGAGGGTGTTGGGTTTGTTTGATTGATTACTAGTGATTCTGGGCACGTCAATTGCTAAGTTCAGTAGCCCTGTAAATGTAGTGCACGGGTTTTTCTCGTGAGGTGGTGGTGATCTTCCCCGCTGGATGGCGAGATCCAACGCTAACCTGCCATCGGCTAGCAGACCGCTAGCCGACGGTTTCCCCCAACGGGTATCTCCCACCAGCGGGACACCGCCCCCAGATGGAACAAGCCCTAAGCTTCTGACTGGTCTCCAGGTGTGTGTGATAGTGTAGTGCATGTAAGTGTGTGTGTGTGTGTAAGTAAGGGATAGGTCAGGACAAGGAATGGGAAGGAAAGATCGCGCGCGGTCCGTGGCTCTTTTGTTAAAAAGAGTACTTCTCCGGCATTCGCGTTGTATTGATTGAAGAAACCACTGAAAACTACCAATCAGAGCAGCCGGCCGTTATAATCCTCCTTCGAAAGCGACAGAACTCGACCTGTGGCTAGTGTCCTGCCACTGTCGGGACTCAAACCAAAGGACCTCTCGATCAGAGGCACTGCAGTGTCATCCATCTGTTTATGCCCTAAGCGACCGCTCTCGGTAGGGTGTTCGGACAGAGCAGTGTAAAGAGGGAGAGAGTGGAGTTGGGAGTGCGAATGAGGCTGGGTGAGATTGGGCGGGAGGGAGAAGGTACGGCATTCGTCAGTCCGGGGTGGATGAGGGCGGTGATGGACAGAGAGAATGAGCGAAAAATCGATTGATGGCAAAACGTCTGTCCATCTGTGAACAACGCTAGCGGCTAAATTGTTCAGCCGACTTTCTGCAAAATCGATATTCCCGAATCGATGTCACGGCTCCTTAAATTTGAAATCGATATTTCAATTTTAGGGGGGGTACTTAAATCCCTGGGTCATTTTCCAAATTTTCAAAAAAATGGCTGCATCATTTTTAATTATATTTTATTATTGGATAATGTAAAGGACGTTCAGGGGAATGATACAGGTCTCATTTCCGTCGGAAACACTCATCTTTCAAAAATTGCCAAAATTCAATTTTCGGCGTCTTCCTACAGCGACAATTATGAAGATAGAGATTATTCCCTTAATGAAAGATGTTCCTTAAATATATATTTTGAAATAAGGCTACGTACAATTTTTCAAAAATTTGAGTAATATTCCCGTAATTTTGGGTGGAAATACGGGTGTCCATATGTGCTATTTCATTACCTTAAGTTTTTTCGTATAATGAAATGTGGGTGGGATATTTCATGCAATCGAGTTATATGCATTTATACGTGTGACATTTGCTCCTGATGTTTAGGCAATACTGTATGCACAGATATTCGGCAGATACATGAATTATTTTGACTGCATACGGGGTTGCCTAAACTTCAGGGACATATGCCACATGTGTAAACGGATATAACTTCGTTGTAGGCAATTTCCCATTATATGATCATTGGCAAAATGTTATCACTTTCGACCCCTCTACACGTCCTAAAAGAATGTAGGATTTTATTTGATTTGTTTTATTTTCGCTAAGGAACAGTAATTTATTTAATTATTTGTAATTTATTTAATTGTAATTTAATTGCAATTTGAAATTTATTTAATTATTTTTTAGTTCATATCCCAAGATTATGTGGTGTGCACTTTCGAATGATGGATCAATTTCTATTGCCCCGTTCATGTACATGTTGGAGGAGGGAGGATAGTCTGCGATGCCCTAGGCGCCATTTTAAGTAGTTACGTCACTGCGTGGAAGCGAGAGCTGTTGC